TACTATGACGTATATGTACAAGCGGAATATTAAATTATACAAATATTTTAAACTATAGATCAATTATTTAATAAACGATTAATATATCACAGAGAGAATAATTATCGTTATATTAATTACTCGATCTTGCGGTTCGATTGCATGTTTAATTGCGCGTTCTCAATCCAAATTATATTTAAATAATCAAAAAATCGTACGATAAAGCATGGGACAAAATATCTTTACTTCAAGAAAAATAGTTATTGCTGGTAAGGCTCGCAACAAAATAATAATTTATAATTTAGATTTCTGTCATTTCGATTCTTACTTTAAGAAAGATTCTTACTTGTATTTTATCCGTTTGAGAATAATTTTAATGGATTAATAAGATTTTTGCGATTAAAATGATATCAAACACAACATAAATCGGATAATTTTTAATTAAATTAATAATAAAAATTTTGATTACATATTTAACTAAAAATTATCCGGTGCATCAGTGGGCACTAATGCATCCAATTGAATATATAAATTAAAAAATTACTTAAATAATATAATTAATCATAAATTACTAATTAATTACAAAAAGCTATATAAATTAAAAGTATAATAATTTGATTGCTTAAAATGCTTGATAATTTTGTTTCAAGAATAAGAAGAAAGTAAAAGCAATTTATTATAAATATCTTTTACACATTAAATATTTAAAAATTAGTAAATTAGAAAAAGTTATTAAGAAAATTTATTTAAGAAAATTTATTTTATGTCACATGCGCATATACATACAAATATTTCAATAATAACTTATTATCGCTGTCTGTGATATATACTAGAATGGCCAAATATCACGCACAGCTAATAAAACATTAATAAATCCATAATATTTCTCCGCAATTTTAATGCACCAATGTGTTTAGCACGGACATGCACCAAAACAGGTCGTTTTACCATCAAAAAGTGGATCTGGCCATGTAGTTTTGCCGGCTCTAAAATGGATCTAGTTGACGCTACTGTACCAGCTAGAAAAAATGTCTTATGAAAAACGGCGGTGTGATCCCTTTCGCGCTTCTCTCTGCTATTAGCTATTAGAGAAATAGACAATAGTACATTTTTGAGCATACATGGATATTATTTAATATATTCAATCGTAAGAATTATTTCTACAATATTATAAAAATACTAGTAATATATTTTTATTTTTCATCACACAATTCTATTTAGATTATTTCAAATAATATGCCCTTAACCTGCCTCGGTAGCGCAGTAGGCAGCGCGTAAGTCTCATAATCTTAAGGTCGTGAGTTCGATCCTCACCCGGGGCAGTTCTTTTTGGAGATGTCAATCGAGATGAATTTTTTTGTTATGTTGAATCAGATGAATTTTAAGAATGTTTATCTTGGAAAGTATTTACAATCTAAATAAAAATTTAAAAAATCCAAGAATTCTCTCTTGTACAACTATACTAAATTTTTACTTTAATACAATAAACACAAAATCATTAATTGTTTCTATAAAAAATAACGATTATACGATAGAAAAAGATTCATGATTATTATTGTAAATGTATATATTAATAATTCGAATGTTCCTTGGATGTTTAAAATTCATGATTGGCTAACGAATGGCAAGTTTATAAAAAGGATTGGGCCGATGAACAGTGAAAGAAAAGCGGTTTGCTTGGAGGAGAGAAATAGAAACAGAACATAAGAGACAATTATGCAAATATACGCTCGCGAGAAGGGACCGTCGACTCTTGGGATTGAAATGGTGGAAGTTAAAACGAGTTGTGAATTGTTTGCTGCCCTTTAGCAGTAGCACAATTTGCAAGCAAACAGCCCATTAAATTAAATTCGCCATAGGCTCTCTGTTTCTCGAAGGAGAGAATAGTCATTGTTCGTGGTGTTTCTTACAATCATATAATTCTGATATTTCATAAAATTGCATTTTTATCGAAGAAAGAGAAGCGTCGCGCAAATATTTTCTTAATAATAAAAATAATGTAACAAATTTGTTCGTTATTTGTAATTGACACTTTCTATGTAATTGAATTTTTTTTCTTTGTACTCTCTTGAAATTGTTGCGTTAATTGTCGAGGCAACGACTCATTAATCTATGCTCACGAATGCAGACACATTGCGAGGCAGCAGTCTTTATTTACGCAAACAGGCAAAAACTCTGCGATGCGCTCTCATTTAGCGTATTTTCAGCGTCATTGAGACGTATCATTGAATCGTCTATGAATGTTACGAAAAAAGAAAAAAAAACGAGAGATGCGATTTCATGCGATCCTTGGAAACTCGGATTGATACGCGAGCTCGGTTGATTCCGCGTTGATTCAAATCGTATTCATGGCGCATCGCATCGTATCTCGCGATGAAAAGACGTACAGCTTTTTGAATATGTTCCAATTAAAAAGTCAGAGCTTCGTTACACTCGGTTCTATCTCCCCCTTCCCGCTTTTCCGGCTGCCCCTGCGCTACCCCTCTTCTTGCCTTCTTCGAAGCCGCCGATCCCTTTTACTTCTGGCTTTTGCCTTTCGTCAAGAGAAGAAAGGAAGTAGAGACATCGGTATACCTGGATTTTTCTCCAGCAATTACTTCACCACTTCTTTTCTAAAACATTAGAAATGCTCGCATATCATTTCTTCCTTTCTCCTGCGGCCCCTGATTAATGTATCAGCTCGTGTACGCGCGTGCATGAATTAAAATCTAAACGAGAGAATTTATTCGTTGTCTCTCCTATGAGGAAAAAATACAAGAAACATAATTTGTCAATTCAATATTCACGCGATTTGTGCATGATCTACAAAAAAATATGGGTTGCCAATGCTCGGTACGGGATGCAAAAAAAAATCGTGTGAAAAAGGTCGAAGAATTTCTTTTCCGCGCGCACATACGAGAAAGAGTCTGTTCCCCCCCGTGAAGTATTTAACGATGCCGCACTATGGAGACACGAAGCGAGCCGAGGAGGAATAAGAAGCGCGTGCCCAAGTGCCAACATGACTTACGCACGTATGCACACGCGTGTATGCGCGGCTATTCGTCACAATACAATACGCACGTGGCTGAACGCGTGCGACGCCACTTGTCTCACGTATCTTGAAAACCCTCCCTTCTCGGCTCTTGCTAAAGATGACGGTGTACATATATCGAACTATAAAGAAATAGATAAAAATTGACACGCGCGCACAAGATTGTGAAAAATTTGTCGTATTTTTGTAGATATATATTTGTATAATATATTTTTAATTATATTTATAATTGTATGAATATATAAATATAATTATGTAAATATAAAGATACGATTTATTAAATGCGAAATTCGTTTGCTATCTGACGGAACGTCGTTGCTATATAAAGTCGATGTGATTCATTATGGCGAAGTAACTATGCATAAGGGAAATATCTGCTTCTTTTTATTCTCTGAAAAAACATGGCACATTGAACGTGAATGACGGAGACTGAGGGAGAAAACGAGGGCTGCAAAATATTTTCCTCCGTCCAGGCGATTTCATATTCAGGATTACGAATCTGCACTTCTTACACGTTGAACATGGGGATCGGTCCAAAGTTTATTTTATTCTGAACATACGGAAGTAATCTGCTAATTTTTTTATTTTCTTCCTTTATTGTTTTTGGAAAAACTAAGAGAAAAAGGACAAGATAAAATAATGAAAAAATCATTTGATTTCTACAGTCTTTTGTATACAGAGGAAGAATAATCTTTCTTCTAACTATTTATAGATCACATTCTTTGTTAAAAACATAGTTCTTCCTTTTCATTTATATATTTACAATTTTCATAGTTTTCTTCCGCGCAAAGACTGATGGATAGTCATCTTACACCGATTGCACTCCTTTCCTGTTGTTTTTCTCGGCTACATAAAGTTAATAATACACATTCGTTTAATAAATTATTCATACGAGAATATCGATTACGCCTTGTTGTAACTTCCTTTTCTCTCGGTCTAATTAACGCAGCTTCAGCGCAAAGTTGTCGCGATAATCGCAACGATTGCTGCGCATTCTCTTGTCGTTTTCGTGCAATTAGATCCGCCATACATGTCAATTCCAGCCCGCACGAGCACCGTCGAGCCACTCGACACATGTATCGGTTTCAACCAATTACCCGTTACTTGGTCACGTGTCTATCGCCACGTGTATACTTTGCTTTCTACTTACAATAGATGGATAAAAATAATAACGAAATATGTATTCGAGCATTTTGCATTCGCCTGCAAGATTGCCTGGAACTTTATAAATATGAAAGCAGAAAGTAAACGTTTGCTTAAGCGTATTAAATAAAAAATATCGATTGGCTCTTGCATCGATAATAATTTATTTATCTACAATAACTTCCTGTTTTGCAAAAAGTGTTTCATAGATTATTGACAGCGAGTAACAATAATTAACTAAATTATGAGGGATAATAGCATTTGCGTTACATACACGCTCCAAAATTGCACACATTCGGTAATATTACTTTCACCTGCATATACGTCGATATTATATTTGACTAGGACACTAAAGTAACTACGCGAATAAAATGTGTTATTAAGCTGCGTAAATCGTTAATTATCAATTATATACTTCTGACTCCAATTTATATGGACAAAGTCGTGCAAAGTATGCTTTCTTTCTCTTTTTCATGACGAAATAGCTATTCTTCTCGTCTATCTTCTAAATGCAATATTAATATTGCATCTACGATGACAAATCAAATATTATGTTATAACAATGTTGTAACATTGTAATATATAATATCGATTATATAGAAATTCTATTATTCATTGAAGAAAAGATGTGAACTTTCGTAAAATGTTAATATAAATATTAAACGTTTTATTGAAGGGGATAAGCGACTACGACTATCGATCAACTCCATAATTACATATTTACATTTTCGTTTAATCCTCATTTAATGCTCGACATGCAAGAGGAAATATGAGAGAAACGATCGTGACAGAACTGTCCGAGCACAGAAATGTATATAACTATCGAGACACTACAATTCAAACGCTACAATTCAATCGCGCAGACGATAGAATTAACATAGAATGGATATAATTCACTTCTTGTTACCCCATCATTTCTCATCCTAGACAATTTTTACACAAGAACAATATACAAATCCTAAACAGAACGCGTAATTAAAAAAAAAACATAATCACCCGAGGAAAGAAAAAAAACTGTAATATGTACACGCGGGCACCTTTTGTTATCCATTACTGTGTAAACTAATTTGTTAAAATAAATCCATTTAACGCACTAGTAATTAAGAAAGGTTTAAAGTGATTAAAGATATTTTAAAACACTTGTTTCAAGTTATAGCTTATATATATATATAGCACTCACGACACAAGTAGTTTGTCGAAATGTTTTTTCGGACGCGGGGAGATCTCTAGCTCTCTTCAGACTCAAAAATTATCTTGAGATTTTGGAGATCATGCGGGTTAGAGCGGGCAGCCGTGGACGTAGGTGACATTTCGGAAAAGCGCGGCTGCCGTCGACAGAAACGCAGCCGTGGAAGCGGTAGACGGTGCCGGCGGCGGCGGTGGTGGCGGCGGCGGATGGCTGGTTTGCGTTTGTGTATTATATGGCGAGCAATAAGCGTCTATGCTACCGTGATGAAGACCGACGCTACGTACCAGAAGATCCTTCTCGACAGTGGCTTGATGGCGCAACTGTTCTAATCGTAGCTGATTCTGCCGCTTCCATTTCGTTCTGCAATAGAACATTTATCTAGTTTTTCTAAATAGCACTATACGCGAGATTCTTCCTTTTAACAGAAACGTCGATTGACAGGTTTGAAGCTGTTGAAGTGATTAAAAATGAGAATCTCCACAAAGGCATTTGTGTCAAGAAATTCAATTTCATTCTTTTTATTTAATTTCTCAAATAAACTTAAACTTAATAGATTTTATAATTGTAGGATTATCAAGATATCGAATGTGAAAATTAATGATGATAATATCTTGATCAATGTTTTCACTAAAGAAAAAGCGATTTCAAAATATGAGAGATATTCGTATAATTAAATTTTGTTAACTGGCTAAATTTAGAATATTTTTAGTACAGTACGCTATAATATTCTATAGTGTATATAATATGCTAATACATAAATGTAAAATTTAGTTTCTTCTACAGCAAGAAAATAATCAACAAAGATTTCTTATGTTATATTACGATTTGTGAAGAGCGCGTGTATTTTATTCGCACAGATATTGAAGTACTTAAAATTACGGTGAAAAGTTATATTACATTTTATGGTGAATTTAAATATGTACCTTCTGTTTTGATACCAAGTTTTCACTTGAGTCTCCGAGAGCGACAAAGCATCAGCGACATCACTGCGGTCCGCCACGCTGAGATATTTCTGACAACGAAATTTTCTCTCGAGATAAGCCAGCTGAGCGTGAGTAAAAGCGGTTCGTCGTCTTCGTGGTTTTCTACTGGTCGGCGGTGCATTGGTGGTCACTCCGCAAGACTTTGCAGACGTAGTCGCTGGACCTGGCGACGGTGAATGCGCCGATGGGGGACTTTCTAGACGCATGCAAGGACTACTGCCAGGATCAATGGTATCCTCGGAATCCGAATGGACGGCCGAATCGTCCTCCGAATCTTCTGCAACATATTTTTGCGCAACTTATATTCTCAATACTTTTCTTTAAAGTAATTTTCCTATAAGTACTCTCTATAATAATTATTAGATATTGAATAATATGACAAAAGTATTTGATTAATTCTGTGTATAAAATTATCATATAATAAAGTATACTTTTAAGAGTCTTTAAATTCATTGAGTTTTTTAGAAGCCAAACTAATCAAATTTACTTTTTATAAGTTTCATAATTTTAATTAGTTTTAATTAATAACGTTAATAATATGCTCCAATATTAAAATTAAGAAATTTACAAAAAATTAAATTAATTTGATTTCTCTGAAAGGTTTATTTTTTACTTATTTTATTCTATTTTAGCTCGCATAATGTAAAATATGATTTTATGTTATGTAAAACATGATTTCAAATTCCGAAAAAGAAAGTCTTTTACGTAATATAATTTCGATATGTATATGCGTATTATTAATACTTAATCGTTTTTCTAGAGAGAAATATATAATATGTTGGAGACACATCTGACAACGCACGTATCTCTACTACTTTGTACTAACAGCTATTTTCTGACTGATCCAATCACGGAATCCGATCGCTCGGGCAAAATCTATTATCGAAACAATAATCCAACGAACCCCGACCGATTATGATCGATTTCGGTTAGAGCAAACCATCTGAATTAGCAGGACCTGTTTGCATCCCCCCAGGATTAGCCAATAGACTCGCGATGGCGCGCCGGGGGGTAATAATCTTCGATGAAAGTCCACGAACTAACGAGCTCTAACGAATCTTTCGGCACCTCGAACCATCTGTAGAATCGTTCTTAATGGGGTACCACCTCCGAGGGGGTTAGTCACCCCTGGTTGCCCTGCGTTGGCGATTTAAATAATGGGAACACACCACGGGGTCTACTTTCTAACGAGAATTCTGACGATCCGCCACGTGTCTATAGAAATGTTTGCGTGAAAAAAAAAACATAATTCTTGTCTCATAAAATTAATAAACAGGCTCTGAAATCGATTAAAATAAAATCCGCGCGACAATATTATATCATTAATGACAATTTCTATCTATTTTCTTTTTAATTATGAGATTCATGTTAAATACATACTTTAAAATCGAAATTTCTATCGTTATTCAATGTATTACAAATGCACAATTCGCTCTTGTAAAATACACTATTGAATAAAATCTACGAATATATTCAGGAAATAACGTATAATAATAATTCCGTCCATTTAAAAAATTAGTTTTAAAATTATTCTGACTTAAAAATACACTTCATTTAAGACTAAATAGAAAGTTTTTCAAGAGAGTCATTTAATATCTCTTCCATACATAAAGATAACATTAGAGTCAATGTGCAATTAAGTTTCTTTTTACATATATAATAATATGTAATCTTTTTATAAAAATGTATACAAATATAAAAAATGTAGATTTTAAGTAAGTTATAACAATTATCCAATGATATTCGCGTGGTAATTATAGATTTCTGCTATTACTATCTATTGCATTACGTTTTACATACCTTGAACACGATCGGCCAATACATCTCCCAAAAGATCTCTGATCAAGAAAGACTTGTGTTCCTGCATCATCGCCATTGGCGAAGCAACGCACTCACAACGCTCACAATCCTCAATCGAGATTGCACCTATACAGACGAAACAATAACAATCAACCGCGACGAGTTTGCAGGAAATGCATCGACACGCTCGCACCGTGGTAGGCAGATCCGATTTTCATGCTACCGTACGAACACTCAGCGTCGTTCTGCGTCACCGACGTCCGCCGCGGCTGACCGGAAGCGTCCGCGAACTCCGGTTCCACCGTTGTGTTCTTATCGTCGGCGAGAATACGCGAGGCAAACACGCGGGGATGAAAACGCACACGTAGAAAAGCTCGGAAAGTTAGCATGCGGTAGACGGGAGGAAGGAGAAGGTATACGCGCTCGTGTACCCTCCGCACTTGTTCCCGCGACCCCCCTCGAATTAATCCGCCCGTTTATTTTGAACGGGCTGCCTAATGCCCGCGCGATTTCGCAGCCATTTTGGGGGTGGAAGCGCCATGCTCGCCCCACTGCGAGAACCAGCGCGTCTCTCTTATTGGTTCACGAGACTAGGATGTGGAGGCGAAGAGACGAGAGCATGAGGTCGTCATTGGTTGGAAGACTCCATGGAGCCAGTCCCCTTCCTATACCTGTGAGTCGGTATCTCGGTGCCCGTTTCGATTTAAGTGGATCCGGATAAGGGTGTGAGGGATGGTGATGGTGCACTAGAAAGTGAGGATGGGAGTTATAGAAGAAGGAAAGGGGGTGGATGTAGGGGGAGAGGGGGAAGTCATTGGCGAGCGATTACTGCGAAACGCGGGAGAAACAAATTGAATGTGAAACTTTTCTTGCAGGCGCATGATATAGCTGGTTTCTATGATTTAGGTGCTTGAAAGACGGATACTCACTCTTGCCGAGTTACCGCTGTTATCAGTCTCGGTCGTCTCGTGCTTGTTGGCTTCGTTATAGAACTCCAAGAGGAGCCCGACGCGGTAACAATCAGGCATAATAAATCTCCGAGAGAGGGTAGTATTTATTTTAATACATTACTTCAAACTATCCAATGCGCGTACATATCATGACAAAATTGTGTAATCTGCAACAGAGACATAAATATTAAAAAGATATTTCTACTTTAATATGCAATTTCGAGCATTTTATTACTAATAATGACGCAACAGATTTCAGAGTTGTAAAGATAATCGAGTTGAGAGAAAAATGTATATATAATTTTTTTTTTACTTATGTTATATAAAATTGCAAGATATTATTTTTATTTACGAATCTTGTGAATGTTGCCAGCCGCGAGAAATCATATATAGTTATCTCTCTCCGACGAGATCAATTCGCGAATAACCCGGAATAACGCAAGGTGCAACGCGGATGCGCATCAGCATTTGCATAAATACATCCTTCGCAGATCCCACCCCCTATGGCAAACCCCCGTTTGTCAGAAGTAGTTTGCGAGTGTAAATATGCATGATGCGTGTATGCAACCATTCTGAAAGAGTTCCGTATTTTCTATCTCCCGCTTTCCTTGCATTACTTGCGTACATCCGAGTCGACTCTCCTCCTTTCTCCTTATATCTCTCCCGACGGGCATGCATATTGTTAGTCTACTCACCGCACTACCATTTTACCCCTTTTAAAGCACCTGCCGACATGCAGCCGCATAAGCGTGTACGTTGGACGCTGCATCGCGAGAAATCATCCGAGATTGAAGTCAACAAGACGCGCGTCGTCGAGTACATAGAGCTTGTAAGAATAATAATAAGATATTTCGGCAAAATATACAGAATATGTAAACAAGACAAAATTATTGAAATCAGCGATAATCTCAGCGAATTCAATCAAGATATCTGCGATATAAGACGAGAAAAGCTGAAAAAGAAACAAACTTATTATTAGTATCTAATTGCGACATATGTGTTTGTCTTATAATGTAAAAAGTTATAAAACGATTAACAAGTAAATAAAATTTCTTCATTAGAATCATTATTTTTCAAGTTTTGTATGAAACGAAGGAGGACAGGTAGTAATGAAATAGAATAAAAAACGTAGTTTATCTGTCGACCACTAAAATGCTTAGTTAGTTGAATATTTTTTCTCAATAGTGTCCCGAGAGCTATTTCAAATTATATATATATATATACTATTAGCTAATAAGTACATATACAGAGCATGACCAAAAAAAGAAAAACTAATGAATAACACTAGCAATTTTGGGAAAATAATGTTCTCCCAAACATTTCTGGGCAAACCGAGTTTTTCCAGACATTTTTTGTCAAAACTTTCCAAATTTATTTTTATCCAGTTTTATGATTTAACTTTTTGCATTTTTGTATACTTTTACATTTTTGCGTTTTACATAATTTAATTTTTTATATTTTTTTATATTACACGCACAAATATGTGCATATAATAATGCAGAGTAATGCATGTACAAATAATAATAATCTATAATCATTATTGTACATATATATATATACACATGTATACATACAACATATATATATACATGTACATATTATGACAAGAAAAATAAATCAAATTTCTTTATAATTCATAAATCGTTATTACATAAAACGAAGAAGAGAATATATTATAGTTTACCTATCAATCAAGAATGCAGCGGTCATTTTGATAGTTTTATCATATCGCACTTGACAATTCTCAAATTCCGCAAAAACCCCGGCGCATAGCATTAATTAAGGCTCCAATTAATTCTGATCGTTCACGCGAGCTCACCTTGATGTAAGCAAAGTCAGCGACGACAGAGTGGATGCTCGCCCCATCCGAATTTTCTACCGGTGTAACGCCGCGTGGCGCTGCATAAAATCGTCAATCTTAAATGTAAGTTGCGTCACCGATGTAGAAATTGACGCTGCGAACGTTGACGGTACTTTAACGGCGACAACGACGGCGGTATATCGTTGTGCGCCGCAAACGAGAGACCCTTCGCCATAAGCCGAGATTGTTGCGCGCGTTACGGAATTCATTAGGTTTAATGTATGCGGCAGATTAATTCAAGGGGCAGCAAAGCGGCCAGGCGTCTCCTTTATGGGCGCGGAAAAAGGGCGGCGAGAAGGATCGCCGGAATAAATGCATGCCGGGATACGAACTAAATTGAGAATCATCGAGGAACACGAGAAACAAGGGTCTACCGAAGTTCTCGCCGGCGCAAGAGATCACGTTAATCACCGAACGGAGACAGAAAAAAAAGGCTAAGCGTTAAAAGCAAAAATTCGAGGATGCAAGTTATATTGTTTCTAAATAATATCTATTTATTTAAGAAAAAAAGTATGCAGAGAAGAATAAATACTCCTTGCATCTATTTCATTCATTTTAAATAATCATAACTTTTATTATTTCATTATATATATATATTATAAATTGCAGACATAATTATTGTGTGAGATTAAATCGAAAATAAAATAGCTGCATCTTCGAAATGATGTTCTAAACAATCGCGTAATTTTCAAATCTCATAATTATGGTAATTTAGGGAGCTTCTTTATAAGACTTTACGTGGCCATGTGCACGAGAAAAATATTACAGGGAAACAGTTTATCGCATTTATCGTGTCCTGAATGAAGGCAAATTAATGATAATAAGAGCGGAGGGCGGTTCGCCTAGAATTAGCTACAAACCATCACTCCCGCTGGCTGATCGTTATCGGCAATTTGCGACGTTTGCTCCTCCCTCGTGGGTGATCCGAAATCTCATCTTAGGGCGCTTCTCTCCTGCCTATTTCGCTTTTCTATGCGTTTGTGTTGTACCATGTTGTACAAATGGGATTTCGTTGGTGAGAAACCGCTTCGCGACGAGAATCAACCTAGCAAATAAATTTTAATACAGCATATTAAAATGTCGTTCTAATATAAATTGTAATAAAATTTCACCAATCGACATATATAATTACATCAAAATAATATTTGGTTATAAAATCTATTTGGCTCTTTCAATTTCTTTTTTATGAAACGTGGATCAAATCGGTTGCAAGACTCTGGGCCGAAAATTCTGGTAATGTCTAGCGTATTGATAGCAATAACGGTGCGGCCGCGGATCGTCATGGCGCGAATAGCTAAATACAGATGAAAGATAAAAGACTGCGAAGGGAATCATGCCGGAGCGATTTAAAACAGAAGCGGCAACGAGGACGGCGGCCCCACCGAGCCGTAATACGGAGAACCTCGAAATCGTTAACAATCGCAGCAAATGCAAGCGGGATCTATTGATGTGCGACCGCGCGTGCGAATATAACTGCCGAAGTAAAGTTTCCGTATGAAGCGGCATCGTCCAGCCCGTTCCGCTTTTACGAAGCGACACAAAGCCCTGCGGTTTTAACTGAAAAATATTTCTTTCTTTCAACACTGCGCGAGAGAGCGAGACTCTTTTCGACATAATGTTCTTTAATTACTTATCATTAGCATTGATCAAAATTTATGAGGTAATTTAAAAACAAGTAAATATTAGAGTAGCATATAGTAAATATAGGTATTAAAATATGATCTTTTTTCTATTATATTCTATGCTAATTTACAAAGATTGGAATTTAATAACGTTAACAAAGATAATAAAATTGTCAAGATTTTAATGCTTCGGCAAACAATGACGCGTCATCTTGGAATGCGTTTCCAAAAATCACTTTATACATACTATAACTCGATGTTATTATGTCGCCGTATATACCGTCTATTGTGTTTCTCTTATAGAGAAGCGGAGACACTCTCGAAGAATGATGGTTATGGGAAAAGGAGTGCTTGAACACGGACGTTGGTCAGGTCCCTGCGGTTCCAATTACGATTGAAAGGCGCTCCTTGTGTGTTTGTTCGCCTCCTATAACTGCAGACTCTTCAGAGCCTCGTAGAACCGTACTCTAGTCCCGTGGCCACTTTCGAGCTCGATGAACGCGTTTCCATAGCAAATATGCGATTTTGCGGTGCGGCCGCAGCTTCTTTCGCGAGAAAGATTATATTCCGGCATTTGAATACAATTAACACGGAATCCTCGCCAAAAGAAGGTTGAATAAATATTGCGAACTCTGATTAGACACGATTTAAATTACCCGAGCAATTAGGATCTGATTACAAATTTCCACCTAGTAAAAAAATTTTAGTGTTAGATATATTTTAATTTTAATAATAATCTCTCTGCACACAATTATTCAATGTCGGGAGTACATAAATTTTCATGCAAACGATATTTATCACGATATTATTTTATATCCTTTTATATCATATAATAGTATATATTTATGTGCTCTTGAGAATGCATACTGACTGAAATAAGAAAATGAAATGGTTCTCGTAGATCGTTAGATTCAGCGCATTACATTTCCATAATGCACTTTCACGATGTCAGAAAGCAAGGCGGTGCTGAAACGTACCGATTACCCGACGTAACCGCGTTCCTGCTTTCGCGCAAAGTGCCGAGTAATCAAAGGAACGATTGTCGTCACAAAGGTGCTTGATTGGCTCGTTTATGCTACGGTAATACCCGGGCTACCGGATGACATATAGAATTCTGTGAAGGTACAAGTATATCTCCCCCCCTCGCCCCGTTCTCTAATGAGTTTCCATGAAATCGCGCGTATAGTCAGCATTAAACATAGATGACTTGACTTATTAAATTTCATTACTAAGTTATATATAAAATTATAAAAACAATTATAAATAACATAATTTAAATTACAACGCAACAATAATCGAAATTTATATATTTGTGTTAAAATATATTATATTGATTTTATCAAACTAGAGATATTTTGTCGATGCGAATAGCACATGCCAACCAAAATTTTTTAAAATTAGGTATCATAGCAACTCGATCGCCATAATATTTCGAGAACGATATTATCATGATCTTACACCCTTCCCTGATATCATCAATGCCTAACGATCGGCCTTATATAGATTAAGATTAATGTGCTATCGGGGAGAGAAATCTTGCGGCTGAAAGCCCGGGGCAGTGGCGCGCGAGGAGGATGTATCCCGCGGAGTCGGTGGTGTATCAGCGCGCCGAAGTTAGGAGGGTGACTTGTTTACTAGCGACAGTTGATTTGACAAAGCCGCGGGTCCATTTATACGAGCGAATATTACAGGAGCGCAGTCGAGGGGCGGCTTGTTATCCGCTCATTGAAGTTAACCACGGGGCTAAGTGCGCGCGGGGATGACGGCGGAGGCGGCGAGGGCTGGAGGGTCGGTGGGTGCGCTTGTGGTACGGTAGGGAGAAGGAGGTGAGGAGGAAACGGAGATAGAGAGAAGCGGTTTGCGCGAAAGCCCGCGAGCCAATAAGAGGCCGGATCGCGTCGCCGCAGAGTAAATCTCACGGGGATGCTTTCCGCCGGATTATTCGACCGAGATTGAAAAGTTAGCGTTGGCTAGTTCGCGGCCTATCCATGGATCACCCCGCCGCCATTCCATATATCTCGCCGATCTCCCAGTGTACCTATATGAAAAAATGCGTTTCTATAAAATAGTAGATTGTATAGATTGAAACTTTATATTCTACATTTAATAATCAAGCTTTAAAAAATTAACTATTTTGCATCAATTGTTTTGCATTTATTTAACATTATACGGAGATTATGCAAAATATATCTCACCTCTATTTGATTAAATTTTAATGACGAGCTTTTTATTATGACAATTTTCCTTTGGCAAACATCATCATTTTTGCGGGTTCTTAATTTTCAGCATATGAATATCTATGTGGTCTCCTTAACTGGGATAGAATCGCAGCTAAAACTTGCAAACGAGCCGGGTCAAGCGTGTATAACTGAAGATATTTACTTCTGTGTAACGCCGCGATGTTTGCGCTGTTTACTGACTGGTAAGCACTTTGAGATTCTCTGACATGTGGATAATTAATGCCCGCGACCAGAGCCAACGTGAATATTCGCGAGGTCGGACGCAAAAGTGCAATGCCATACAAAAATAAATAAATACGGAAAAACTTCAAACGTCTGATATCGAAAACTGCGCGATTGAGAAAAGGTATAAATGTACTATTTCACATCAATTAATTTAAAATGGATTTCTTTCAATACTTCAAGACTTCAATTTGCGAGCTTTAATTATCACAAAATAAAATTCAACAAAAAATTTAAGAAGTTGTAATGAATGATAATTAAAAGAGTAAAATCTATAAAAAAAAAGATTGAGCTACCTTATAATAATAATTAAAAGAAAACGTATAATTTTTTTATATACTTTATATGTATTCATGTGTGTGTTTGTATATGTCGATGGTGTAAAAAGAAACCTCGGAAAATTCATCGGAAGCAAAAGAGATGATACTTTTGAATAGGTCGGTGAAAATGAAAGAGGGCGACGAAGAGAAGAAAGTTTCCGGATAACCGACGCGGAAATACGCGGATAATGACTACTTTCTCATATCTTAATTACGGAATAATTAATTGAAATGTTTTGCCGTATACGCGAGGGTACTCGACTAAAATGAGATGCGGCGAAGGCTGCTGCTTTTTCCTCCAACGAGAAGGAATACCTCGCTTTACGCGGTAGAAATTTCTTTCCTTTCGCATTCTAGACGATTCTATGCGCGAGAAATTAAGTAGGAAACTCTTCGCAAGTAAATTCTCGGTTAATTAATTGGCAGACGAGCTTAATTGATCTATGATTTTGAGAAGAGATCCGTTAAATTAACCCCATAAAATATGTTCGTAGAAATATGGAATAATAGTATTAATAGCGATAAGCATGCTAATAGATTTTAAACTTGGTTAATTTCTCGATTTATAAAGAATACGAGAAACAAAAGCATAATTAAATTGTATTTTATCTCAGGGCTCATATATTTTTCTTAAAAGCATTCAGTATATAATTTGATATAGAAATGAATTATCTGATTCATCTCCTCTTACTCGTAATAATGTTAAAGTTAAAATTTGATCTTTTTGATTCATAGAAAAACTAACTAAATTTTATTTTATGTTTGCTTTGAGATAATTTTTTTAGATAAATTAGAACAGATAACTAGTTGTATATATATTTTTTTTTTTTTCGTTTGCCAGCTCCAGCATTTTATGTTAGTCGCGCATCGTTTCCACCCAGTAGTCGTGTCAATATCTCGAAACCCCTTTGGACACTTCGTTATTCGTTATCGTGACACTGCCACTGTTGTAGTGCTAACGGAACAATAGCAAGCCAGAAAAAGTTATATCGCGCGCTGATGCAAAGCGAGGACGCGCCTTTGTTAGCGTTCAATTGTTCTCTCTTTGTTCCAGACATTGTTTCCGGTAACTCTTTCGCGGTAACAAGGAAGAAGCTCAATTAGAACGGTTTGAGGGCTTAAACGCCCAGAGGCTGCTATGGTTTAAGAGGCAAGAATGCGACACTGACACCGGTCTCAAAACATTGTTACAGCAAGCAGATTCTCTTAATCGCGCCAGCGCTAAGGCGGTTATTGATTACGCGCGCGCGCGCGCGGCGTTTTTACCGAGAATATAAATTCATTCGAGTACAAAATTCAATTTATACGCGTGATTTAAATGCCACATAAGTATTCAACCATTTGCAATTCTTAATAAAATATATTTGAACAAAAAAAAAAAAAAAAAAAAAAAAAAAAAAAAAAAAAAAAAAAAAAAAAAAAAAAAAAAAAAAAAAAAAAAAAAAAAAAAAAAAAAAAAAAAAAAAAAAAAAAAAAAAAAAAAAAAAAAAAAAAAAAAAAAAAAAAAAAAAAAAAAAAAAAAAAAAAAAAAAAAAAAAAAAAAAAAAAAAAAAAAAAAAAAAAAAAAAAAAAAAAAAAAAAAAAAAAAAAAAAAAAAAAAAAAAAAAAAAAAAAAAAAAAAAAAAAAAAAAAAAAAAAAAAAAAAAAAAAAAAAAAAAAAAAAAAAAAAAAAAAAAAAAAAAAAAAAAAAAAAAAAAAAAAAAAAAAAAAAAAAAAAAAAAAAAAAAAAAAAAAAAAAAAAAAAAAAAAAAAAAAAAAAAAAAAAAAAAAAAAAAAAAAAAAAAAAAAAAAAAAAAAAAAAAAAAAAAAAAAAAAAAAAAAAAAAAAAAAAAAAAAAAAAAAAAAAAAAAAAAAAAAAAAAAAAAAAAAAAAAAAAAAAAAAAAAAAAAAAAAAAAAAAAAAAAAAAAAAAAAAAAAAAAAAAAAAAAAAAAGAAAAAGAAAAAAAAACATAAGTTTCGGAACTATAGAATTAAGCACCGATGACACTTAATCACACATAAATAAAGTTTTCGAATATCTACGCGTAATTACGTATACATCAATATAAAATTATATATTCTAATCTTTTATATTATAATAATAAACGTTTATAAAATACGTTGACAATTTACTTAGCTTGGTGTATATATATTCATACCTGATTGAAAAGATGTTCCTTATTAAGTGGATTTTAGTCTATATCGCCGTATAATATAAGGAAGTATCATATGTTCCTGCGCAGGCGTCACTCTCCGCCGACACAGTAATTTTCTCCTTCTGTTATCCTGTCGCGTTGCCGTTCCTATCTCAGAACCACCGTTATCTTTCGGCCGTTGCAGTAATTTCCAACGTTCCGACGGAATAATCGGCGGAAAGATGCCTCGTTGACGATCCTGAATCGGAGACGAATTATTGATTAACGTCGTAAAAATACGGTATTCCATCGTCTATCCATTACTTATCATACCTGTGCAGGAGGCGAGTTATCAGGATATACGAAGTATCGGCCTGCGGTCATTGCCCTCGTCCAGATGGGTCCAGGGATGGAACAACAAGAAACGTCTAGGAGAAACTCCGTTGCACGTATGGTGCCCTAGTGGAAAAACAAGACCGTGCTTTGAAGCACAAATTGGGATAAATCCTGTTACTGTGTTGCAATTAATATTCACCGCAATCAAACACCTCTCATCGTTATTTAAAAGTAAAGTGGATGTTCGCAAGTAGTTAATTTCCTAGTAAATGTTTGTAGTTTAAATCTGTTCTTTTCTTTTCAAAATGTGTGGCTTACATTATCTTAAATGTAAAAGAGCCTACAAATCTCTTTATTATATATATAAACTTTTCTCAATAGTATATTTTCTATACATTATTAGAATAAATTTTCTGGAGTTTTAATAATGTATTCCAAAATATTATAATGCATCAATATAACGTTAAATATTAATGTTAAATTGTAGATAACTATTGGCGAGAGAAATCACTCGCGCACATACAATCGTGTGAAACGTTATCAACGTGGAGTAAACAGTATGTTTGTTGCAGTGCAGTCGAATGTGTTGGTGTTCGCGTCACCGATACAGTTGTGTAGTATGTTGTAGCGTTATTGGAAATATGCTCGAATATTTGGATATTTTTTCGGGCTCGGCTGCGTATCGTTTCATGATCGCCTGTGATCGGCGCCTGAAATTAAGACGCACGGAAGACGAATTGCGATCAATAAAAAAAAGTACAATACAATAAAACGGCATCTATTCATCTTATCTTTCGTCTTGACTCATTTTTCTGAACCATCTCATATAATCTTTACGCATAATTCTCTATCCTTTGTTCTCAAAGGCGTCCGATCAAAAGCGGTTAACTTTATCGAAAAAAAGGATCATATGTCTAAGAGCATCTTAAACACTTTCCGTCTATTCTTGTAGGTCGACAAAACCGCCGCTTTCGCGACGCATAAAGTATAATTTATGTAGATAATACCCAGGCGCGCGCAAATCGCACCGCGACGTCCTGTTATCCTGGCGCTCCTGGAACACCCTCCTACTCCAGAGAGTCCTATCGCGGTTCCCGGAAGTCAGGTGCGCGGCGGAGAGAGCGAGAGCGTTCCTGAGTTATAGCTTCCTGGTGGCGCGAATGCTTCTGGCGCCACTCTCTTGACGAGTGACAGGACATTGACGAGCGTGTCGGAAGGATCAAGGCTCGGTGATGCTCGTCGTCGGTCTGACGCAGTTGATCGGCTCGGTGTCGCGACGAAAATTCGACTCCCTGCATGCGGCCCTGTTACGGGGGATGCTTGCCGTTCGAAAGCGCATACGCCGCGGGGGTGGGAGCTGGGGGTGAAAAAAAATCTTTCCTCACATGCTATCCTGATGCTGAGAATATTTGCGAGAAACGAACGCGTGCCGATTGGTCGTTGCGAAATTTTTGCGGCTTCAATTGATGTTTGTTTAACGGAATAGTGCTCAAGTAAAATTCTTCAAGCGCTCTGAAGATGTGAATTTCTATAGAAAAGACACTATATTATATAGTTCTCTGTCAATTTCATTCGCTATTGCGAATTATCTGATACTTATTTATGATCATATTTATAGTATTTGAATTTGATAACGTATATTTAGGGTTAGGTCATCGACTTGCTGATAATTACGATAAAATTGCAATATCTTTATTTTTTGATCGATCCACGAAGATCGTGTTTGATCGAGAAAATTACTATATTGTTATGCTTATAAATAGATAATTTTGATACATATAGATTTCATCTATCTCATTCTATTTAACCAGATCTAACATTCCACAAGTTGTTGCTTCTACGAATCCTTCGAGAAAATATTGTTTCGTCTATATGAGACCTGACATATATACTTACAAGGATAACAGGGAAGATGGGGATACATTTTCTTCAGGATATTTCTTCAGGATATGCTTTTGGGAGCCAGGATCGCGTATTCCTCAGAAATATTTTACGTCTTGATCTTGATACTCGATCTTAGATCCTTGAAGTTATCTTTGTGTTAGTTTGATATGGCATAATTTTTACGTGCTTCGCGCCTTTTTATCGCCGATAAAAATTATACACATATATATCTTAATATATTTTCGTGTAGAGTGCATTTCAAAACGCGCGTAGATAATATTTTAGGAATAGATATCTTTTTTAAGATATAAATATTGAATAAAAATTTTTTTCTCTGTAAAAAGATACATTACCTTTCTCATTGCAGTTACGTATGTGTGCATCTATTGCATCAGAACGTAGCCTACAAATATGGCGTAAACGCTTGGTACAGACATTCTCCGAATGAGGGCATTGTCCAGCATTGTGGTTTGTGGCGCAATCTCGTATCACCTTATATCCCCTCACCCCTGCTCTCCCCTCCTTCGTTGCCTTTAACATACATGCATATATATATAGCTATATGGAATGACTATTAGCTAAAAGCCCATTTGCGTTATGTTCGCGTAAAGTGTATAAATAAATATTAAATACATGATATTATAACAGATTGTATATTTGCAATAAGTGTGTACACTGCCAAACATGAGTATCCCTGCAAATTTTAAGAAACACAGTACTCACTGTCAACCAGGTTGGTTCTATTAATCTTATTGTAAATAATAATATAAAGATAACACAAAATGACAAATTGATAATTGAAGTTAATGAGGATAAAAATGTATTATTAGCATTAATAAACTATTTGGATTATGTATATAATGCCATATGGATGCAGAAAGAACAAAAGAATTGTAATATTTCAATTAATAATTATTACAATTATATTTTCTCTCTTTTCCAAGATGTTCACGTAATGAATTGCGTTGAACGAACGCAGGGAGATGGCATGGAAAATGTGATAGCGGACAAGGTTGAGAGTAAGCAAAGCCGAAGTCGTTTAGGGGATACTCTCATTTATCATCCTACAAATCTGAAACAATTAAGATCGACCCCTCCAGTCACTCCCACTGGTACAATAGTAAATCTAGTGCCAAAGAATATTGATAATATAAAACAAGAGAGACGTATCTTGCATTCCTTAAAGTCGAAAGAACCAAAGTTTGTACCATATGAGCCTTACAAGGCAGCTGTTAATCCTATAGTACCATTTGAAAAAAAGAACAAGAAATTGTTTAGGAATGAGTCGCGAATGAATGTTACCATTGCACAGGTTGCTGCAATGAAAATCCAAGATAACGATATGAGATTAAAAGATTGTGTGAAGGAAAATATGGAAAAAGTACTGGAAAATGAATGGGACAGTGAGAAACGAGTGTATGAGGCTGAAATCCGCAAGCTAAAGGAAGAAAACAGTCAACTTGAAACTCAGTTGAAATTTCAAGCACAGGTACAAAATGATTATCCATTTCAATCTAAAAACAAATTTTATCATATTTAATATTTATAATTTATGTAAAAATGTATATTCTTACATATACAGGTCAATGGTGAATTGAAGAACTTGTTAGTTGCCGCAGTAGGAGAGGATTTGGAAACAAGAGTTCATCTGTTAACTGAGGATAAATTGCAACTTGCCAGAGCTCTGTTGAATTCGGCACAACATTTATCTACGCATCAAGAACAAACAGAATGGTTGGCAGGCCAGTGTGAAGTTTGGAGAAGTAAATTTCTAGCTAGTAGGTAATTAACAGTTATTTCCAAGATTATATGGAATTGTTGCAGTTTCTATTTTGATTTGTCTCGTAAAATTTTTATAATAAATTATTCCATCAAATTTTAATGAAACAGTGATATGTCACTAAAGTAAAACTTATTACAGCTTAATGGTGGAAGATTTGGCAAGATGGAAGGCTGCACTTTGTCAGAGAACAACAGAACTGCAGGAAACTATAAAACGATTATTAGAAGAACATAATGGTATTCGTGATACATCCCTTAAAACATATAGGTACATATAAGTTTTATAGATATATTATGAACACATGCTACACTGTATCTATATAATTTGATCAAATTAATGAACAAGTTTTATTTCTTTAGAATGCTCACGATTCTACGAGAGAAATTCGATCCTATAGGAATATCTGGCAAAAAACATGAATTAGTGAGCACTAATATCATAGATTTGGCACAAGGATGTTGTCAACTGACAGAAATCCTGAAAGGCAGTCTTCTCAGTGGTATCCCAGATTCAGAATTACGGAAGGAAATTAATATAATTGGTTTAGATATGAAAACACTCGCTGAAAACAACGCGGAGAAGGTAAGGCTGCTCGACTGTTCAACCTTTATGAGAAGATATATCATTTTGATCTAATAAATTAATATTTAAATATTGCAGTTGCTAATGAATCAAAAATTACCCATGACTGGGAGAGAAGATATTGCCTGTTCTGCGGTGATGGGGGCGGCGGTCGCAGTTGGCGGGCAAATGTTTCTTCCACGATCTGATACTAATAATATGACATGTTGTCCGCATTGCAGTGGCGAAATTAAACAGATTTAAAAACAACTCCACTTTTATGTCTTCCATCTGACATTTTTTACATTAAATATGTTGAATATTTTTTCATATTTGATTGCCGATGTAGTTGTGATTCTTTTATTTGTAATTAAGAATTACTTTTTTGATAAAATATATATGCACAAAATTGTACTAATATTTAATTATATCTATAATATCTCTATAAGCTAAGATCAGAATTTAAATAAGTTCTCTAATGAGTTTCCATGAAATCGCGCGTATAGTCAGCATTAAACATAGATGACTTGACTTATTAAATTTCATTACTAAGTTATATATAAAATTATAAAAACAATTATAAATAACATAATTTAAATTACAACGCAACAATAATCGAAATTTATATATTTGTGTTAAAATATATTATATTGATTTTATCAAACTAGAGATATTTTGTCGATGCGAATAGCACATGCCAACCAAAATTTTTTAAAATTAGGTATCATAGCAACTCGATCGCCATAATATTTCGAGAACGATATTATCATGATCTTACACCCTTCCCTGATATCATCAATGCCTAACGATCGGCCTTATATAGATTAAGATTAATGTGCTATCGGGGAGAGAAATCTTGCGGCTGAAAGCCCGGGGCAGTGGCGCGCGAGGAGGATGTATCCCGCGGAGTCGGTGGTGTATCAGCGCGCCGAAGTTAGAAGGGTGACTTGTTTACTAGCGACAGTTGATTTGACAAAGCCGCGGGTCCATTTATACGAGCGAATATTACAGGAGCGCAGTCGAGGGGCGGCTTGTTATCCGCTCATTGAAGTTAACCACGGGGCTAAGTGCGCGCGGGGATGACGGCGGAGGCGGCGAGGGCTGGAGGGTCGGTGGGTGCGCTTGTGGTACGGTAGGGAGAAGGAGGTGAGGAGGAAACGGAGATAGAGAGAAGCGGTTTGCGCGAAAGCCCGCGAGCCAATAAGAGGCCGGATCGCGTCGCCGCAGAGTAAATCTCACGGGGATGCTTTCCGCCGGATTATTCGACCGAGATTGAAAAGTTAGCGTTGGCTAGTTCGCGGCCTATCCATGGATCACCCCGCCGCCCTTCCATATATCTCGCCGATCTCCCAGTGTACCTATATGAAAAAATGCGTTTCTATAAAATAGTAGATTGTATAGATTGAAACTTTATATTCTACATTTAATAATCAAGCTTTAAAAAATTAACTATTTTGCATCAATTGTTTTGCATTTATTTAACATTATACGGAGATTATGCAAAATATATCTCACCTCTATTTGATTAAATTTTAATGACGAGCTTTTTATTATGACAATTTTCCTTTGGCAAACATCATCATTTTTGCGGGTTCTTAATTTTCAGCATATGAATATCTATGTGGTCTCCTTAACTGGGATAGAATCGCAGCTAAAACTTGCAAACGAGCCGGGTCAAGCGTGTATAACTGAAGATATTTACTTCTGTGTAACGCCGCGATGTTTGCGCTGTTTACTGACTGGTAAGCACTTTGAGATTCTCTGACATGTGGATAATTAATGCCCGCGACCAGAGCCAACGTGAATATTTGCGAGGTCGGACGCAAAAGTGCAATGCCATACAAAAATAAATAAATACGGAAAAACTTCAAACGTCTGATATCGAAAACTGCGCGATTGAGAAAAGGTATAAATGTACTATTTCACATCAATTAATTTAAAATGGATTTCTTTCAATACTTCAAGACTTCAATTTGCGAGCTTTAATTATCACAAAATAAAATTCAACAAAAAATTTAAGAAGTTGTAATGAATGATAATTAAAAGAGTAAAATCTATAAAAAAAAAGATTGAGCTACCTTATAATAATAATTAAAAGAAAACGTATAATTTTTTTATATACTTTATATGTATTCATGTGTGTGTTTGTATATGTCGATGGTGTAAAAAGAAACCTCGGAAAATTCATCGGAAGCAAAAGAGATGATACTTTTGAATAGGTCGGTGAAAATGAAAGAGGGCGACGAAGAGAAGAAAGTTTCCGGATAACCGACGCGGAAATACGCGGATAATGACTACTTTCTCATATCTTAATTACGGAATAATTAATTGAAATGTTTTGCCGTATACGCGAGGGTACTCGACTAAAATGAGATGCGGCGAAGGCTGCTGCTTTTTCCTCCAACGAGAAGGAATACCTCGCTTTACGCGGTAGAAATTTCTTTCCTTTCGCATTCTAGACGATTCTATGCGCGAGAAATTAAGTAGGAAACTCTTCGCAAGTAAATTCTCGGTTAATTAATTGGCAGACGAGCTTAATTGATCTATGATTTTGAGAAGAGATCCGTTAAATTAACCCCATAAAATATGTTCGTAGAAATATGGAATAATAGTATTAATAGCGATAAGCATGCTAATAGATTTTAAACTTGGTTAATTTCTCGATTTATAAAGAATACGAGAAACAAAAGCATAATTAAATTGTATTTTATCTCAGGGCTCATATATTTTTCTTAAAAGCATTCAGTATATAATTTGATATAGAAATGAATTATCTGATTCATCTCCTCTTACTCGTAATAATGTTAAAGTTAAAATTTGATCTTTTTGATTCATAGAAAAACTAACTAAATTTTATTTTATGTTTGCTTTGAGATAATTTTTTTAGATAAATTAGAACAGATAACTAGTTGTATATATTTTTTTTTTCGTTTGCCAGCTCCAGCATTTTCTGTTAGTCGCGCATCGTTTCCACCCAGTAGTCGTGTCAATATCTCGAAACCCCTTTGGACACTTCGTTATTCGTTATCGTGACACAGCCACTGTTGTAGTGCTAACGGAACAATAGCAAGCCAGAAAAAGTTATATCGCGCGCTGATGCAAAGCGAGGACGCGCCTTTGTTAGCGTTCAATTGTTCTCTCTTTGTTCCAGACATTGTTTCCGGTAACTCTTTCGCGGTAACAAGGAAGAAGCTCAATTAGAACGGTTTGAGGGCTTAAACGCCCAGAGGCTGCTATGGTTTAAGAGGCAAGAATGCGACACTGACACCGGTCTTAAAACATTGTTACAGCAAGCAGATTCTCTTAATCGCGCCAGCGCTAAGGCGGTTATTGATTACGCGCGCGCGCGCGCGGCGTTTTTACCGAGAATATAAATTCATTCGAGTACAAAATTCAATTTATACGCGTGATTTAAATGCCACATAAGTATTCAACCATTTGCAATTCTTAATAAAATATATTTGAACAAAAAAAAAAAAAAAAAAAAAAAAAGAAAAAGAAAAAAAAACATAAGTTTCGGAACTATAGAATTAAGCACCGATGACACTTAATCACACATAAATAAAGTTTTCGAATATCTACGCGTAATTACGTATACATCAATATAAAATTATATATTCTAATCTTTTATATTATAATAATAAACGTTTATAAAATACGTTGACAATTTACTTAGCTTGGTGTATATATATTCATACCTGATTGAAAAGATGTTCCTTATTAAGTGGATTTTAGTCTATATCGCCGTATAATATAAGGAAGTATCATATGTTCCTGCGCAGGCGTCACTCTCCGCCGACACAGTAATTTTCTCCTTCTGTTATCCTGTCGCGTTGCCGTTCCTATCTCAGAACCACCGTTATCTTTCGGCCGTTGCAGTAATTTCCAACGTTCCGACGGAATAATCGGCGGAAAGATGCCTCGTTGACGATCCTGAATCGGAGACGAATTATTGATTAACGTCGTAAAAATACGGTATTCCATCGTCTATCCATTACTTATCATACCTGTGCAGGAGGCGAGTTATCAGGATATACGAAGTATCGGCCTGCGGTCATTGCCCTCGTCCAGATGGGTCCAGGGATGGAACAACAAGAAACGTCTAGGAGAAACTCCGTTGCACGTATGGTGCCCTAGTGGAAAAACAAGACCGTGCTTTGAAGCACAAATTGGGATAAATCCTGTTACTGTGTTGCAATTAATATTCACCGCAATCAAACACCTCTCATCGTTATTTAAAAGTAAAGTGGATGTTCGCAAGTAGTTAATTTCCTAGTAAATGTTTGTAGTTTAAATCTGTTCTTTTCTTTTCAAAATGTGTGGCTTACATTATCTTAAATGTAAAAGAGCCTACAAATCTCTTTATTATATATATAAACTTTTCTCAATAGTATATTTTCTATACATTATTAGAATAAATTTTCTGGAGTTTTAATAATGTATTCCAAAATATTATAATGCATCAATATAACGTTAAATATTAATGTTAAATTGTAGATAACTATTGGCGAGAGAAATCACTCGCGCACATACAATCGTGTGAAACGTTATCAACGTGGAGTAAACAGTATGTTTGTTGCAGTGCAGTCGAATGTGTTGGTGTTCGCGTCACCGATACAGTTGTGTAGTATGTTGTAGCGTTATTGGAAATATGCTCGAATATTTGGATATTTTTTCGGGCTCGGCTGCGTATCGTTTCATGATCGCCTGTGATCGGCGCCTGAAATTAAGACGCACGGAAGACGAATTGCGATCAATAAAAAAAAGTACAATACAATAAAACGGCATCTATTCATCTTATCTTTCGTCTTGACTCATTTTTCTGAACCATCTCATATAATCTTTACGCATAATTCTCTATCCTTTGTTCTCAAAGGCGTCCGATCAAAAGCGGTTAACTTTATCGAAAAAAAGGATCATATGTCTAAGAGCATCTTAAACACTTTCCGTCTATTCTTGTAGGTCGACAAAACCGCCGCTTTCGCGACGCATAAAGTATAATTTATGTAGATAATACCCAGGCGCGCGCAAATCGCACCGCGACGTCCTGTTATCCTGGCGCTCCTGGAACACCCTCCTACTCCAGAGAGTCCTATCGCGGTTCCCGGAAGTCAGGTGCGCGGCGGAGAGAGCGAGAGCGTTCCTGAGTTATAGCTTCCTGGTGGCGCGAATGCTTCTGGCGCCACTCTCTTGACGAGTGACAGGACATTGACGAGCGTGTCGGAAGGATCAAGGCTCGGTGATGCTCGTCGTCGGTCTGACGCAGTTGATCGGCTCGGTGTCGCGACGAAAATTCGACTCCCTGCATGCGGCCCTGTTACGGGGGATGCTTGCCGTTCGAAAGCGCATACGCCGCGGGGGTGGGAGCTGGGGATGAAAAAAAATCTTTCCTCACATGCTATCCTGATGCTGAGAATATTTGCGAGAAACGAACGCGTGCCGATTGGTCGTTGCGAAATTTTTGCGGCTTCAATTGATGTTTGTTTAACGGAATAGTGCTCAAGTAAAATTCTTCAAGCGCTCTGAAGATGTGAATTTCTATAGAAAAGACACTATATTATATAGTTCTCTGTCAATTTCATTCGCTATTGCGAATTATCTGATACTTATTTATGATCATATTTATAGTATTTGAATTTGATAACGTATATTTAGGGTTAGGTCATCGACTTGCTGATAATTACGATAAAATTGCAATATCTTTATTTTTTGATCGATCCACGAAGATCGTGTTTGATCGAGAAAATTACTATATTGTTATGCTTATAAATAGATAATTTTGATACATATAGATTTCATCTATCTCATTCTATTTAACCAGATCTAACATTCCACAAGTTGTTGCTTCTACGAATCCTTCGAGAAAATATTGTTTCGTCTATATGAGACCTGACATATACTTACAAGGATAACAGGGAAGATGGGGATACATTTTCTTCAGGATATTTCTTCAGGATATGCTTTTGGGAGCCAGGATCGCGTATTCCTCAGAAATATTTTACGTCTTGATCTTGATACTCGATCTTAGATCCTTGAAGTTATCTTTGTGTTAGTTTGATATGGCATAATTTTTACGTGCTTCGCGCCTTTTTATCGCCGATAAAAATTATACACATATATATCTTAATATATTTTCGTGTAGAGTGCATTTCAAAACGCGCGTAGATAATATTTTAGGAATAGATATCTTTTTTAAGATATAAATATTGAATAAAAATTTTTTTCTCTGTAAAAAGATACATTACCTTTCTCATTGCAGTTACGTATGTGTGCATCTATTGCATCAGAACGTAGCCTACAAATATGGCGTAAACGCTTGGTACAGACATTCTCCGAATGAGGGCATTGTCCAGCATTGTGGTTTGTGGCGCAATCTCGTATCACCTTATATCCCCTCACCCCTGCTCTCCCCTCCTTCGTTGCCTTTAACATACATGCATATATATATAGCTATATGGAATGACTATTAGCTAAAAGCCCATTTGCGTTATATTCGCGTAAAGTGTATAAATAAATATTAAATACATGATATTATAACAGATTGTATATTTGCAATAAGTGTGTACACTGCCAAACATGAGTATCCCTGCAAATTTTAAGAAACACAGTACTCACTGTCAACCAGGTTGGTTCTATTAATCTTATTGTAAATAATAATATAAAGATAACACAAAATGACAAATTGATAATTGAAGTTAATGAGGATAAAAATGTATTATTAGCATTAATAAACTATTTGGATTATGTATATAATGCCATATGGATGCAGAAAGAACAAAAGAATTGTAATATTTCAATTAATAATTATTACAATTATATTTTCTCTCTTTTCCAAGATGTTCACGTAATGAATTGCGTTGAACGAACGCAGGGAGATGGCATGGAAAATGTGATAGCGGACAAGGTTGAGAGTAAGCAAAGCCGAAGTCGTTTAGGGGATACTCTCATTTATCATCCTACAAATCTGAAACAATTAAGATCGACCCCTCCAGTCACTCCCACTGGTACAATAGTAAATCTAGTGCCAAAGAATATTGATAATATAAAACAAGAGAGACGTATCTTGCATTCCTTAAAGTCGAAAGAACCAAAGTTTGTACCATATGAGCCTTACAAGGCAGCTGTTAATCCTATAGTACCATTTGAAAAAAAGAACAAGAAATTGTTTAGGAATGAGTCGCGAATGAATGTTACCATTGCACAGGTTGCTGCAATGAAAATCCAAGATAACGATATGAGATTAAAAGATTGTGTGAAGGAAAATATGGAAAAAGTACTGGAAAATGAATGGGACAGTGAGAAACGAGTGTATGAGGCTGAAATCCGCAAGCTAAAGGAAGAAAACAGTCAACTTGAAACTCAGTTGAAATTTCAAGCACAGGTACAAAATGATTATCCATTTCAATCTAAAAACAAATTTTATCATATTTAATATTTATAATTTATGTAAAAATGTATATTCTTACATATACAGGTCAATGGTGAATTGAAGAACTTGTTAGTTGCCGCAGTAGGAGAGGATTTGGAAACAAGAGTTCATCTGTTAACTGAGGATAAATTGCAACTTGCCAGAGCTCTGTTGAATTCGGCACAACATTTATCTACGCATCAAGAACAAACAGAATGGTTGGCAGGCCAGTGTGAAGTTTGGAGAAGTAAATTTCTAGCTAGTAGGTAATTAACAGTTATTTCCAAGATTATATGGAATTGTTGCAGTTTCTATTTTGATTTGTCTCATAAAATTTTTATAATAAATTATTCCATCAAATTTTAATGAAACAGTGATATGTCACTAAAGTAAAACTTATTACAGCTTAATGGTGGAAGATTTGGCAAGATGGAAGGCTGCACTTTGTCAGAGAACAACAGAACTGCAGGAAACTATAAAACGATTATTAGAAGAACATAATGGTATTCGTGATACATCCCTTAAAACATATAGGTACATATAAGTTTTATAGATATATTATGAACACATGCTACACTGTATCTATATAATTTGATCAAATTAATGAACAAGTTTTATTTCTTTAGAATGCTCACGATTCTACGAGAGAAATTCGATCCTATAGGAATATCTGGCAAAAAACATGAATTAGTGAGCACTAATATCATAGATTTGGCACAAGGATGTTGTCAACTGACAGAAATCCTGAAAGGCAGTCTTCTCAGTGGTATCCCAGATTCAGAATTACGGAAGGAAATTAATATAATTGGTTTAGATATGAAAACACTCGCTGAAAACAACGCGGAGAAGGTAAGGCTGCTCGACTATTCAACCTTTATGAGAAGATATATCATTTTGATCTAATAAATTAATATTTAAATATTGCAGTTGCTAATGAATCAAAAATTACCCATGACTGGGAGAGAAGATATTGCCTGTTCTGCGGTGATGGGGGCGGCGGTCGCAGTTGGCGGGCAAATGTTTCTTCCACGATCTGATACTAATAATATGACATGTTGTCCGCATTGCAGTGGCGAAATTAAACAGATTTAAAAACAACTCCACTTTTATGTCTTCCATCTGACATTTTTTACATTAAATATGTTGAATATTTTTTCATATTTGATTGCCGATGTAGTTGTGATTCTTTTATTTGTAATTAAGAATTACTTTTTTGATAAAATATATATGCACAAAATTGTACTAATATTTAATTATATCTATAATATCTCTATAAGCTAAGATCAGAATTTAAATAAATGTTTCATTATCTATTTAATTTTATAAATTTGTTTCTTATATATCATTTATTTCAAATAACGATAAAGCATTTATTTTATTCTATGGTTACTTGTTTTTTCCTATGGTACTGATGAGATAGTGTTAAAAATTAGTAGAGTCTGATCATTAGGACGTTATGGATCAAATGGATCAATGTTTTTGAATTATATTTTGATTTGTTAATTTGGGATACCATGTATATATGTAGATGTGTATATATAAAGTATTTTATTTTCATCAATATACACAAGACACTCTACATATATATATATATGTGTGTGTGTATTTGCAGTTATATAAAAATTGCTATAATATATAAATGTGACTTTCTTTATATAAAAGTTCCTATACAAACGATATAAAAATTTGAGCACATGGAATGTGTATACAATAAAGTTTTGTACATTTCTTAGGCTCTAATGATTATCATTTATGATCATGTATTATATATATATATATAATATTTCTATATATTTTATAATTTATAAATACTATCCAATAAAATAAATATTACCTTCAATTTAAGAATATCCTGCTTCCATTCTCCAGAACCAATAATTTTTACTGTTTCTAGTAATACATTTGTTATTTTATCAACATTTTGTTTGAATACAACTAGGACATCAGCTGCATTAACATTATCTTCACAATCTCTCCAACAATCGTAATCAGTTGCCATTGCTACAGCTGCATACAAGAGACCTGCTTCTTTCGCTAAGAATACCTGATTTGTGACAAAATATAAATAGTTACAAAAGTTATATTCCTAAAATATATATAGTTATTAATTTATATATGAGTTTATTATGATATACAGACCTCTGGACATATAGTCATGCTAACTAAATGTCCACCCCAGAGACGTAGAGCATTACTTTCTGCTTTAGAGGAAAAACGTGGTCCTTCAATGGTTACTATTGTCCCACCTTTCCTTATATTATATCCTAATTTTTTTGCAGCTTGTATTAAGATTTCAGATGTTCGTGGATCAAATGCAGGTTCCATTGGTACATGGCATACTCCTATAATTTTATAAGCATTGTATTTTATTTATACATATAACAAATATATAAAATCTATTTACCGCTGTATTTGACAGATGTTCCATCATAGAGTGTAGGTTTTCTAGCAAAAGTTCTGTCTATGAAGCTATCAGGTACAACTAATTGTCCTCTACTGATAGATTCTGTCAATGATCCACATGCAGTAGATGCCAATACATGAGTACATCCGGCAAGTCGCAATGCTTCTATATTAGCACGGTAATTAACCCCAGTAGGATTTATCTTATGTCCCTCACCATGTCTGTATCAAGCCAAAAAAGAAGAATGTCAATTAATATAATTTAAACAAATATGATAAATGGGGAAAAAAATTGTTGTTGATAAATAATAAATAAATAATAAAATCATAATAGCCAAAAGGCCAATAAGAACCTAAATACAGATATCGATGTATAACTCTATGATTGCATGATTGCAATGATTGCATTTTTCTAATATACAATATAAAAAAATAGATATACAAATCATGAATCAAAAAACTTGTTTAGAATTTTACCTGGATAACAACACTATATTTATTCCATCAATGCATCCATAATAAAGATCACTAGAGGGATATCCAAAATCATTTTTTGCATTCTCACGACTTACAGTATTATTACAATTGAATGTTTTGTGCAGACAATCACCCAGACCTGAGCCACTTATTATTCCTACCTAGAATTTAAAAATATATTAATAACATCAATATAACAATTTTATATTATTTTAAACAAAAAGAATATTTGGAATATATTGGGACCCATAATACACAGATAACATAAGGTATGTTAAAATATCTTTCTATGTACACATATATTTTTTGAAAATAGTTCTTTTCAATTATTTATCTCTTACAGATCTATTTTTATCAGCATTAAGTTTATTATTGTCAATCACTTTGAGAATACTAAATAACTTTGATAAGAATATATATATATATATATATTCATGTGATTATTTGTTTTATTTATCAACTCTGATTTTTTTAAAACGGCTAATTCTTGTATTGTAAAAATATAATATATGATATATTAATGTGTATGTGTGTTTATTCTACTATTCTCTTATCCTCCACAATTAGAATTCAGTCATTGATGAATTTTTATAATGCTGGTTAAAAATAAACATTTTTACCTTAATTTGATTTGCCATATTAAGATATTTGATTTATTATCTTGAATCTGCAATATAATCGTTTAAATCACCGAATGATCGCACTTGTGCGTGATCGCGAACTGCGTATTATATAATTCTTCTACTTTGATTATTAACAGGCACACCCGGCAATACTCGCCTGATCGTGCTGATTAGATATGATAGAAAAAAAATCGGCATAGATTATATAAATATAACAGAAGAGAGATTTCTTACGTCTTTTGCATAGAAAATAAGTTTTATCATCATAAATTTTATATATCTATGGTCTACATGTAGGAACAGAGAATTTATTTTTCAACGTTGGTAGCTCTTAAATAAAGCTTCACATTTCCACCGCTCGAGAGCTCCAAAAGCAATTTGAAGTTTATCTGGATACATCATTAGGTTATTCTATAGATATTCCAAATTTTATTATTTTACAAGAATTTTAGTAGAAAAAATTAACTTGCAAAAATGACTATGGCAATGTTGCAACGCCGTGCTAATGTAAGTATAGAACATTTGCATATGATATGACAAATCGTCTTGACCGATGCTAACTCTAACCTAATCTAACCTCTCATATATGTGTATTATATATTAGTTGTTATAAATGTGAAATTTTTGCTCAAGGTACGGTTGCCACCCGAAGTAAACAGAGTGTTGTATATCAGAAACCTACCATACAAGATTACAGCTGAAGAAATGTATGATATATTTGGAAAATATGGAGCTATCAGACAAATTAGGGTGTAAGTAATGTATTATGGACAATGTATTCGAGTAGAGTAAAAATCTCTCTCTCTCTCTCTGACATATTTATTAAAAATATGTTTCTCTTTCAGAGGTAACACAGCAGAGACAAGAGGCACAGCATTTGTTGTATACGAAGATATATTTGATGCAAAGAATGCGTGTGATCATTTAAGTGGTTTCAACGTATGGGGTGTAAGTAATGTATTATGGACAATGTATTCGAGTAGAGTAAAAATCTCTCTCTCTCTGACAAATTTTTGCTAAAAATATGTTTCTCTTTCAGAGGTAACACAGCAGAGACAAGAGGCACAGCATTTGTTGTATACGAAGATATATTTGATGCAAAGAATGCGTGTGATCATTTAAGTGGTTTCAACGTATGTAATCGTTATTTAGTGGTTCTGTATTATCAGAGTAACAAAGCATTTAAGCGAATTGACGTTGATAAAAAGATGGAAGATCTAGATAAATTGAAAACAAAGTATAATCTAAATGATGAGAAAAAGTAATTGGTCAAATATTTGTACAATATATATTTTTTTTTATATAAAAGATAGTTGCGTGTATGTCTGCATGTGGTTTATATATGTAACACACTTTTTAAGTTACATTATGTTTTATATGTAACAATTGAACAGATGAATGAATGTATAGTAAAAAAATGTTAATTAAGAATAATATAAATAAAATAAACTTTAAGTTATATGAAACAGATTTGTATAAAATTTTCTGGTAGTTTTAAAAAGTTATTTCTATTTTTCTTCTGAATTTTTAGATTTTTATTACATAAGCTTACTTATTCTTGTTTTTTTTTTATTTATTTTTTTTCGCATGTGTTTAATTAATTACCTGACTGACAGAATTTGCGATGATACACGTGGCTTTTGTTGATGCGTGCTTACTAACACCTGTCATTGATACATGATATCTGTGTAACTTAATCGGTCGTCTCGTCTCCACATTCATATTTTGTAAGCCGAGCCTGATCCGTCTACATGCCGGCCACGTTTCTTTACATTTAGATGTTATCATTGAGTATCAGCAGCTACCTGAGAAAAACAGCTGTTTTTGTGTCATCAATTATCATAAAGTAATAATGTTTAATTCGATCGGATAAAAAAAAAAAAAAAAGAGT